CACAGACTTATATTTAACACATACATATATATATATATATATATATATATATATGTGTGTACTTTATTATTTTATTATATTACTTATTTTATTTCAATTTCATTTCAACAGACTTATATTTAACACACATACATAAAATACACATATTTATAGATTTATATTTATAATTTATAATTAGTTATAATTTTTTAATGCATTTTATTTGTATACTATAGTGTACTATACATTATTCTGTAAAACAAAAATTAGTATACTGTGTTTTGAGTCCGATGAATAGCCTATTTTTAAATATTTGAAAGGAAAATAAGAGGTTACTTTGTGGTGAAGCAAGCAAATCTCAACAGAACATGGTTAAAATTAAGTTTTCCAGATTTTCAAATAGTTGTATCTCGGACAAATATTGTCCTATCCTAACAAACCATACATCAATGGAAAGCTTATTTATTCAGTTTCACTCAATGTCATTGACCCTTATGACTGGTTTTGTGCTCCAGGGTCACATTTGTTATTTTGCAGCCTGTGCCGGCTGTGGTCCTTCACCTTTAGTCTGACTGGATAAAGGGATCAAAGTCAAGCGCAGACAAACATGGCCTAAATATACTGGAAAATGACCCACTGACTTACTGACATCCTCAGTATGAGCAAAATGTTCATCGTGTTCAATCAATAAAAAACGAGCAATATGTTTGTGCTTCGGTCGATCACAAAGTCCAGAGTATGTTGTGGAAAGGCGAGTACAGCCTGAGCCTGTCACGATCAATAACTTCATGACGAGTGTGTGGCTGGTGTTCAGTCTTACCCGCAGCAGAATGCTGACGGCGCAGGCCATGCCGACCTGTCCCACACCGACCACCGTCACTTTGTTCCTCGGCGGCTCAAGCGGCCCTCTGAAGAGAGGAGTGATGAGCTTCTGCAGAACCGAAGCCATACTCAACACTGCAGAGGAAGAGAAAGATCAGATCAGTGCAAACACAGCGCATGACGACCCCGATGATGAGCAGAAAGTCATTTATTTCTCCCAGACAGCATTGAAATGAATCTGAGAGCAAACGGTGACTTTTTGCTGCATCTCAGATGTTCCCAGTAATCTCACGTGTGTCTCATCTAGAGATCTCTACAATATCTCAAACTGTGCTCAGATTTACCAGGATGCCAACGTCTGAATCTAAAGTCAGAGATGTCACGATGAGCTCGTGTATTCTCAGCTAATTCTCACAAGATTTCATCTAACTCTCAGGGTTATCATAGTTGACTAAAACTACAAACATTTTTATTTGAACACCTCCGTTACTTTTTATA